AGCTCAACCCTATATCTGTATTATCAACAAAGGGGTCCCATAATTGCTGGGCCCCAACCCATTACCATCCAAATTTGCTATGAGCTTGGCCATCAACCGAAAGGGGATGACAGGATCCAATAGTGACTATGACTCCTGGACCTGAGATTCTCCCTCCCTGTCCTGTGATAAAACTATGGGGATTTACTCGTCCTTTACCGTAATATGTTTTGCATCACAGTGGCAGAAGAGTCAATCTATCCTTGACGGCTTCAGAGTCCATTTGTTCACCCTGATATTTCCCAGGGGAACAAATGACAACCTTTCTCAACATGTTGCCTAAGGGGAAAAAGCAATGATCCAAAGTTATGCAGGTAGAGGCTATTAAAGTATCCAAGAACAGATTAACATTGACAAGTATTTTGTCGATAGTAAGGTGAGAGAACAGCAGCTTCTACATTTACTCTATGAAGACATGTGTATTTCAGGCTGATGTACCTTTAAAACAAGCATTAAACAATGGACGCTTGCACACTCAGTTACAGTTACCTAACCATCCCAGTCTTCTTATAAACACATAGGCTAAAGTACATCTTACATGTCCTTTAAGCATACGACTCTTAAGACAGCTATATTAAACAGGTGTGGGAAAATTTTGTTTTGGCCTAAGAGTTGCCTGAGAATCTTATCCGGGCCACATGTGAGCCATATGGGAAAACCTAAAGGGCCAAAATGTGCCCCCAGGATAACGTATTGTCATCTGGGCACGTAGAGCAGTGTTTCTCAACCTTCCTAATGCTGTGACCCCTTAATACAGTTCTTCATGTTTTGGTTACCCCCAACCATAAAATTACTTTCATTGCTACTTCATAACTGTAATTTTGATACTATTGTGAATTGTAATGTGAATATTTGATGTGCAGGATGTATTTTCATTCAGTGGACAAAATTTGGCACAAATACCTGATACGCTCAAATTTGAATACTGGTGGGGTGGGGGGGGGGCTTTGATTTTATCATTTGGGATTTGTAGTTGCTGGGATTTATAATTCACCTACAATCAAAGAGAATTCTAAACTCCACCAATGATGGAACTGAACCAAACTTGGCACACAGAACTCCAATGACCAACAGAAAATACTGGAAGGCTTTGGTGGGCATTGACCTTGAGTCTTGGAGTTGTAATTCACCGACATCCAGAGAGCACTGTGGACTCAAACAATGATGGATTTGGACTAAACTTGGCATGAATACTCAATATAACCAAATGTAAATGCTGGAAGAGTTTGAGGAAAATAGACCTTGACATTTGGGAGTTGTAGTTGCTGGGATTTATAGTTCACCTACACTCAAAGAGCATTCTGAACCCCACCAACGATAGAACCCTAACCCTAACCCTAACCCGACCCCCAGGTTGACAAATGATGGTGTAGAGCAGGGGTCCTCAAACTAAGGCCCGGGGGCCGCATATGGCCCTCCAAGGTCATTTACCCGGCCCTCACTCAGGGTCAACCTAAGTCTGAAATGACTTGAAAGCACACAACAAAAACAATAATTCTATCTCATCAGCTACAAACAGGTCCACACTTCCTCTTGAAACTAGTAAGTTTATATTTGTTAAAATTGTTCTTCATTTTAATTATTGTATTGTTTTTAAGTGTTTTTTGCACTACAAATAAGATGTGTGCAGTGTGCGTAGGATTTTTTTTTTCAAATTATTATCCGGCCCTCCAACAGTTTGAGGGACTGGGACCTGGCCCTCCGTTTAAAATGTTTGAGGACCCCTGGTGTAGAGCATATATTATATATTCCATTACTACCGACATGGCTGAGGTTGGAGTGGAACAGTGTACAAACTGGGCAGGAGAAAATCTGACATTTGTGCAATCCCAATTGGAAATCAGGGGAGGTTGCTGGTTTTCTGTTTTATTGTCATTTCATTCTTTGTATCAATAAAAAGTTGTGACACTCAAAAGAAATGGTGAAGTGCCATTACACACTGCAATCGCCATCCTAAAGGGACAGGAGATTGAAAGTATTTCTCAAGGATGGCAATGAAATAGGTGAAAGAGCACTTGTAAAAACTAACATTCTAGCTCTGAAGAGGAGTAAGCTGATGCACTTTAGAAAAGAAACTGAGCCAGAGAGACTCCAGTCCCATCACTTGGTGCAAAATAAAATAAAATGAAAACTCTCAGCTGAAAAGAGGCGTCGGAGCATCTTGTGCTCCAGGCTTTGGCTGGAATGTTCTGTATCTGGTAGGTATGCACCCAAATGGATCACATGCGAGGCAGCAAATATGCCACGAAAAGAACACAGCTTACAAAACAATTGTAAGCAGTCAACACCAAAGTTTAGTTTCCTGTGTTTATCCAGAAAAATGTTAGCCCCTAGGAAAATATGCTTGCGTTGAACTAGCATTTTGGAAAACATGCTTGCTTTGAAATAAGTTCCACTGAAAACAGAATCTGCGGAGCTTCTGGAATCTCTGGAACGTCTCTCTTCTCTGGGATTTCTCCTCTTTGTTTTGTTTCTCTGCTGATCTATTTCGAAGGCCCCTTCCGCACTCCCCTATACCCAAGGATCTGATTCCAGATTATCTGCTTCTCCCAGAATTTATTTATTTATATCCCACCTTTCTCTACCCCAAGGGGGACTCAAAGCGGCTTACAAGTGGCACTAACATAGTGCCTTAAAACAATATCACCATAAAATAAATTGGACTAAAATTTACACAAATTAAACATGACAAAATACATTCCAATGTTAAAGACTTTCTGTATATATTTCAGATTTCAATATTAATGTAAAAAATACGTAGTATGATTTTACATAGGATTTGTGCTATATTAGAACAGTAAAGTAAAGTAACTTGGCTCTTCTGATGTGCCTTTGGAGAGTAATCGTTTATCCCATTTCTGTTTGCTCCATCTACAGTGTTGCCCCTATGATGCCCTCTCCCCCGTCCTAAACTGAAAGCTTCACCATCAGCTACTTTCAGTGGGACAATGAGTTCTACGAACAGAAAGATGGAGTAGCTATGGGGTGCCCTCTCAGCCCGGTCATAACTAATTTCTACATGGAACCCTTTGAAAAACAAGCCCTGGAGACAGCAACGAAAAAGCCCACGATATGGTTCAGATATGTGGATGACACTTTCACCATTTGGAGCCATGGAGAAGAAGAACTCAACAGGTTTCTGGACCATCTTAACAGCATTCACCCAAACATCCAGTTCACCATGGAAAAAGAAAATGAAGACTGCCTTTTCTAGATGTCCTAGTCATCCACAAACCAGATCAACAATTGGTTCAACAGAAAAATAAAATAAGGTGTAAACACTAAACTAATCTGGGAATCTGCAATTGCAACACATCCAATGAAGTGGTTTAAAACCAGTATAAAAAAGATTAGGACTACAATGTTAATGTAGACTCATATAATCCAGTTTAATCTGAGATCAGATCTTGCGGTACAGGGCAGTGTAGATTCCAGCCTTACTTGGGGGATGGAGTGAAGGAGACAACTCTGGGTGAGGCAAAACAGAACCTGAATATTATCCTATATATGATGGAGTTCAAAAGAAAATGCTCCATTCAGGCCCGTAGCCAGGATTTTGATTCGGGAGGGGCTGAGTTTGATTCGGGGGGGGGGGGGGGCTGAGTCTGAGTGAAAGAGGGTCTACCCTAGCAAACCTTTTGTATCGTTACCCCAATACCCCCATGCATATGGGATATATTGAGCATGGTGATCAGATCATGATATGAATAAACATAACAGTTTAAATAATGTACCAGTAAGGCCTTCTCGCGGACCACCATGAGAATTTGGGGGGGGCTGAAGCCCCCCCCCCCCCCCCCCCGGCTACATGCCTGGCTCCACTGAAGTGATGAGTGTAGAAAAAAAGAGTCTGTGTCCAGGAAAATAGAGGTCTATGTGAAAAGGGCAGGTACGAACATGAGCTCTGCTTATCACCTTCTGGACGTCTCTTTTAATGGCTCTTAAGTGGCCTTTTGAGCATATAATGGGGTTGCAACTCATGGGGCAAAGCCAATCAAGTAAAAGGTGTACCTGGCTGTTAGGAATTGTGGGAGTCGAAGTCCAAAACACCTGGACGACCCAAGCTTGCCCATGCCTGGTCTAGGCACTTGGTAATTTTCCTTAATGAAAAAATGCCATTTTAAAACTTTTCAGTGGGCAGGAGACAACAAAATTTTTGCAGTTTACTAAACTTTTGTCATGTTTGTTTTTAAATGATAGAACCAATTAGGAAATGACCGTTATATCCCAGGGGCAAAAACCGTGTTACGCAATGTTGTTGTTGCTATTACTAAATTACCTTGGCTGAATGTTGTCCTGGGACTTCCAGTTTGGTGAGATAACAGCACAATGGAGCAGGAAGCTGGAAAAATACAACCCCCAGGATCCCCAAGACATTGAGCCCTGGCAGGTGGAGCTGCAGGGATTCCACCAGTGTCTCTTTGGTCTTCCAGGTGTTTTGGACTTCCACTCCCAGAATCCTTGGTGAGGTGAGGCTTCTGGGAGTTGAAGTCCAAAACACTTGGGGCCTCATCACACTAGAGAATGAATCCTCTTGAAATCCAAAATACCTGGAGGGAGGGCCCAGGTGTTAGGCATTGTGGGAGTTGAAGTCCAAAACACCTGGAGGGAGGGCCCAAGTGGGAATTGAAGTCCAAAACACCAAGTGTTAGGAATTGTGGGTGTTGAAGTCCAAAACACTTGGGGCCTCATCACACTAGAGAATTAATCCTCTTCAAATCGGGCTTCTGCTTCCTGCAGAATTCTGGGGTTTGTAATTTAGGGAGGAGCCTGGAACAGCCTCCCTCAACTACAAACCCCAGCATTCTGCAAGAGGCAGAAACCTGATTTAGAGTGGATTCATTCTCTAGTGTGATTGGAGGACTAGAGAGCCTGGGGATCCCTGTTGTGGAGCAAAGGGAGGACAGATCTCCAGACAAGCACTAAAGCCCAGCCACGGGGAGGAGCTGGAAGAGCTGGCCTCTCCCCCTTTGGGCCTTCCTCCTCCTCCTCCTCCTCCTTAACCTTGCAGCCATGGTGGAGGCCTGGTACATGGACGAAGCCCCGGGGGACCAGCGGAAGCCCCACCGGCAGGACCCCAACCAGCCCGCCAGCCTGGAACTGCTCAGCCAGCTGGGCGTTTTCTATTGGAAAGTAGGCAAGCTGCGGCCCCTTTAAGGGAGACCAGGAGGGAGGGGGGATCGCCTCCAGAAAGCAGTCCAGAGCTGCCTTTTGGCCCCTAAACTGCGCCTCTTTGATCCTACTGCACAACATGGACCCTTTCCTCTCCTTCCTCTGGACCTCTGAGTGAATTGGGAGCAATAGAGTGGTCTGATTTTAGTGCCAGTTATTAGTGCCTGGCAGAAGCCACAGGAAAGGGACAACAATAACAATAACAGAGCTCTGCCCCAAGCGCATTGCTGAAAGAGGACATTCCTCCTTCTTGAAGCCACAAAATTCTCTGCTTGCAGGGTGCATTTACACCAGGCATGAGCAAACTTGGGCCCTCCCTCCAGGTGTTTTGGACTTCAACTCCCATAATTCCTAACAGCCGGTAGGCTGTTAGGAATTATGGGAGTTGAAGTCCAAAACACCTGGAGGGAGGGCCCAAGTTTGCCCTTAACTGATCCACATTGTGGGATCAAGGCAGCCTGACACCCCTTTGAATTGCCTTGGCTCAATGCTAAAGAATCTTGGGAGTTGTAGTTTGCTGAGGCACCAGCACTCTGGCAGATAAGACACAAAAAAAACTTGTAAAACTACAACTAATGCAGTTTGTTGCCACTTTGAACTGACATGGATTTGTGGGAATTGCAGTTTTGCAAGAACTTGAGCCTTCTCTGCTAAATGGTGCAGGTACCTTGTAATGCCACATAGCATTTATTTATTGTGCCAGAAGCAAAGCCACGAAGTCAAAAAACTTGGCATTATATTAAAGACCTCAACATACTAGAGAATGAATTCACTTTAAATCCGGTTTCTGCCTCCTACAGAATTCTGGGGTTTGTAGTTTAGGGAGGAGCCTTGAACACCCTCCCTAAACTACAAACCCCAAAATTCTGCAGGAGTTAAAACCTGAATTTAAGGTGGGTTCATTATCTAGAGTGCCTCTGGTATCACTGTGAAAAGGTCCTACATGGGACAGGGCTCAGGTTGCATTGTAGTCGGTGGAGTGGTTTGCTCTCCTCCACAGTCGCATGTCTGTGCCTCTCCTGAGAAGGTTTCACCTCACGTTCTGTCCCAGTGATAAATGGATTTTGAAAAATTTGGCTTCTTGTGGAAACAAGGATTGGTGATGACCCCCATGACCACCTTGTAAACAAACTAGTCAAACGTGGGCTAGTCAAAGCTACTATTAAGTGAATATGTAATTGGTTATGCAACCGATTATGCTGCTGAACTTGCTGACCAAAAGGTCACAGGTTTGAATCCGGGGAGTGGCATGAGCTCCCGCTGTTGGCCCCAGCTTCTGCCAACCTACCAGTTCAAAGCAGATAATTTGGGATCTGAATCTGGATTATATGGCAGTGCAGATAGAGCCCCCGGGGCACAGCGAGTTAAACTGCTGAGCTGCTGTACTTGCTGACCAAAAGGTTGGTGGTTCAAACCTGGGGAGTGGGGGTGAACTCCCACTGTTAGCCCCAGCTTCTGCCAACCTACCAGTTCGAAAACATGCAAATGTGAGTAGATCAATAGGTATCACTACGGCGGGAAGGTAACGGTGCTCCATGCAGTCATGCTGGCCACATGACTTTGGAGGTGTCTACAGACAATGCCAGCTCTTTGGCTTAGAAATGGAGATGAGCACCAACCCCCAGACTCGGACACGACTAGACTTAATGTCAAGGGGAAACCTTTGTCTTTTATGCGACCAAACCCAATGGGTGCTCACCAATGATTTCCCTTCATCCTGGAAAGAAGTGACGAGTGGAGTGCTGCAGGGTTCGGTCCTGGGCCTAATTATGTTCAACATCTATATTAATGACTTGGATGAAGGTTAGAGGGCATACTTATCAAGTTTGCAGATGATACCAAATTAGGAGGGGTAGCTAATACTCCAAAGACAGGATCAGAATTTAAAATGACCTTAATTGGTTAGAGAGCTGGGCCAAAACCAACAAAATGAATTTAATAAGGACAAATATTAAGATACTTCACATAGGCAGAAAAATGACATGCAAAGATATAGGATGGGTGACACCTGGCTCGACAACAGTCCATGTGAAAAAGATCTTGTAGTCTTTGTGGACAACATGTTGGACGTGAACCAACAGTGTGATGTAGCAGCTGAAAAAGCCATTGGGATTTTGAGCTGCATCAAAAGGAGTATAGTGTCTAAATCGAGAAAAGTCATGATGCCTTTGTACTTTGCTTTGGTCGGACCTCACCTGGAAGACTGTGTCCAATTCTGAGCACCACAGTTCAAAAGAGATATTAACAAGCTGAAATGTGTCTAGAGGAGGGTAACTAAAATGATCAAAGGTCTGGAGACCATGTGTCCCTATGACAGTGGTTCTCAACCTGTGGGTCCCCAGGTGTTTTGACCTACAATTCCCAGAAATCCCAGCCAGTTTACCAGCTGTTAGGATTTCTGGGAGTTGAAGGGCAAAACATCTGGGGACTCACAGGTTGAGCACCACTGCCCAATGAGGAGTGTTTTAAAGAGCTGGTTATGTTTAGCCTGCAGAAGAGAAGGATGAGAGGAGACATGGTGGCCATGTATAAATATCTGACAAGATGCCATAAGTAAAAGGGAGCAGGCTTGTTTTCTGCTGTCCTGGAAACTAAGACACGAATCAATGGGTTTAAATTGCAGGAGAGGAGATTCCATCTGAACATTAGGAAGAACTTCCTGACTGTGAGAGCTGTTCAGCATTGGAACTCTCTGCCCTGGAGTGTGGTGGAGGCTCCTTTGGAAGCTTTTAAACAGAGGCCATATGGCCATCTGTTGGGGGTGCTTTAAACCTCACTACCTCTGAGGATGCTTGCCATAGATGCAGGCGAAACGTCAGGATAAATGCCTCTAGAACATGGCCCTAAAGCCCGAAAAAACCCACAAGAACCTAGTGATTCCAGCCATGAAAGCCTTCGACAATACAACCTTAACTTTACTATTTATATGGCTATAGTTAACTTTATAAATGTGTCTGTTCCGACTAACAAACAAATTCAACTTAAGAACAAACCTATCTTGTTTGTAACTTGGGGATGGCCTGTTGCTGGAATAAAACAGATGTGCTCTATCTGAATCACTACACATTTTGCACACAATTATTTTGGAAATAAATAGAGATGATTGCTTCATTTAACAGTTAATCATTCTTTTTTTCTATAGTTGGATGCTGACAACTATGAGAATGATCCACAATTAGCAAAGATTCGGAAGGAGAGGAACTACAATTGGATGGATATAATCACGATACATAAAGATAAGATGCCAAATTATGAAGAAAAGGTACTCACTCTTGCCTGTCTTTGAGACTCGGAAGGGTCGTAAATGCTTGCATTCGCCACTAGAGTGTGTTCCAGTTTTAAAGGTTTCAAGCAATGTGTGCAATGGGTTTCTCTTTCCCCCTCTGAGAATTAAGTCCAATCATTCTTACCTTCTTCAAAGGGCATTTTTGATTTTCTTTTATAACAGAAAGGTGTGTGCTTTTAACTGCTTTCTTTTATTTTTCTGAGAGGGCTCTTCTGTATTTTAACAGCTGTCAAATTTAGCAGGTGAATTCTGGCATACAAACTGTCAGATTTGACATGGGGTAAACTATGCTTGTTTAATTTTTGCCTTGTGTACGCTATTGACGGCATGGATATCCTGCTGAAAGATTTTTTAAATCTTATGGACTAACCTCACTGAAAAATATTGTGCTTGGGTTGAATTGGACTCTGTAACAATTCAGACTGTGACTATGGTGATATGCAGTCATGCCTCTATGTTACATTTCCTGTAATATGTACATACAGTAAAGTCTTGCTTATCCAACCTTCGCTCATCCAACATTCTGTATTATTCAACGCAGTCTCCCTCCTGCCCAGATCTACAGCTGTTTCAATACATTGCGATGTTTGGGTGCCAAATTCGTAAATACAGTAATTACTACATAAAGTTACAGTGTATTGAACTGCTTTTTCTGTTGAATTATTGTAAAACATGATGTTTTGGTGTTTAATTTGTAATAGGCTTTTCTGACCAATAAGTTGGTGGTTCAAATCCGTGGAGCGGGATGAGCTCCCTCTATTAGGCCCAGTTGTTGCTAGCCTAGCAGTTTGAAAACGTGCAAATGTGAGTAGATCAATAGATACCACTTCTGCGGGAAGGCAATGGCGTTCCATGCAGTCATGCTGGCCACATGACCTTGGAGGCATCTGCAGACAATGCCAACTCTTCAGCGTAGAAATGGAAGAGGAGCCCCCGGTGGCGTAGTGGGTTAAACCCCTGTGGCGGCAGGACTGAAGACCGATGGGTCGCAGGTTCGAATCCGGGGAGAGGCAGATGAGCTCCCTCTATCAGCTCCAGCTCGTCATGCGGGGACATGAGAGAAGCCTCCCACAAGGAAGATAAAAACATCAAATCATCCAGGCGTCCCCTGGGCAATGTCCTTGCAGACAGCCAATTCTCTCACACCAGAAGAGAAACTTGTGCAGTTTCTCAAGTCGCTCCTGACACGATAAAAAAAACACACGTAGAAATTGACATAAGCACCACCCTCCAAGTAGGACATGACTAGACTTAATGTCAGGGGAAACCTTTACCTTTACCTTTACCTCTGTCATAAAAACATGGGGAAAGTTTATTAAACTACAAAAACTTTGTTTTGCTGGGACATCTTGCAACACATTTTGCTATAGTTTTTCAATGACATGTTGAGTCTCGACCAGTTTGTGGCAGCCACAAAAAAAAGGTTTCTGGAGTATACTTTTAGAGTAAGTACCACACACTTAAACAGGAATAACACTTTCAAACCAGGAAAAGATTTTTTCAAATTTTGTACATAATGTTATCAATAGTAGTTCAGTTGCTGTGGATGTAATCCTTGTTTAACAATAGGAGGATATGGTTAAAGTACCTTGTCTTGATAGGCCTCATAATCTTTTATACACGTGAAGGCAATTTCAAGAGAGAAGAGTAGAATTTCGTTCAATTAAATGCTAGGTGTTTGTGATTTTTTTTATAAACAATGAATGTTATTTTGTTGTGAGAAATGGATGCTTTAAATATAAAAATGGCAACTATTGCAGCAATAAACTGGGATGGTGGGCCTTGGAAATATACCTGGAGCCAATTACTCCTTTAAAAGTTACTTTCCAAGCTCTAGATCTGGCTTGCAAGATTGCTGTACAGATTGTCAAGAGAATGTATTTGAAATACTTGGAATGTTCCGACCGCACTATATAAATGCTAAGTACTTTATTATCAACGCGGCCTTCAGGTCTTTTTGAGGCAACATCTTGCAATCTTTGCAGGGAGCTGTGTGTGCTTACAGCTTGTAATAGAGTCGCTAACTGAAAAGCGGCCTTCTTTCTCTCCTCTTCGCTTTCCCAGATAAAAATATTTTATGAAGAGCACTTACACCTGGATGATGAGATTCGCTACATCCTGGAAGGAAGTGGGTATTTTGATGTCCGTGATAAAGACGACAAATGGATCCGGATTGCCATGGAAAAGGGGGACATGATCACACTTCCCGCTGGCATCTATCACCGATTTACCCTGGACGAGTCTGTACGAAATTGCCGTTTTTATATATAAGTATCTGCGTATTGTTGAGACAGGATTGTGTGCAGGAGCAGAATTGCATATTAACAACCCGACTCCAATCCTTGTGTGGTATGAACCCCTAAATTAGAAAAGCGGGGAAGGTGTTTTGAGGACAGGGGAGAGGATTTGTGAAATAATCTGTGACTGACAGGCCGAGACTCATCTTCCTCTTCCCTTTTCTATATTATGTATGTATGCATACACAAAACAAATAGTTGCAATATTTTGCTCTGAATACTCCCCCCAAAAGCCTTATTTCTTCAATTAGCCATACTTTTCTTCCCATATAAATATCTCTAAGAGTTGAGCATGCATTTCTTATTGATGTTGGTACTGAAATTAGTGTGCATCTTGCAATTGATGGTGTCTTCGAATCGAAGAAATGCGGCCGCTCTTGTTTTATAGTTCTCCTGATGGGAAGCCATTGATTATTTGGTGGTTCGCGGTGTCTCTTGCTTGAGATCAAAGTGTAATATCAGCCCAGTTTCAAACATAAAAACTCACCTGTCTTCCCAGCTGCGGTTCCCAACTCTCTGGGATTAGAAACCAATTCCTGGGGGTCCAGAGAGGGATGGGCGTAGAGCACATCTGCACTCTTAGCTCCGTACTGCTATAGATAAATGTTGTGCTTGTGTCTCTGCCTTGTCATAAAATCCATTTTTAGTAAGGGATTGGTGTTGTCATAGCAGTCCGCCTGTGGAGCCTTGGGAGATTCGATCTCCTTGTCCTGTCATTTGGCTTGTTGTGAAGAATATAAAGCAGGCATGGCAAACTTTGGCCCTCCAGGTGTTTTGAACTTCAACTCCCTTGTGGGAGTTGAAGTCCAAAACACCTGGAGGGCCAAAGTTTGCCCATGCCTGCTATAAATGCTTAGAGACAGTATGAGAGATTTCACTAGCCCACAATGTAGATATATGCAATTGTGCATATGAATTGAGGTGGGTAAGAAATAATCAGAATAATGTTACTAATTATTTTGGGTTGATGTGGAATAAGATGCTACTAACTTCGGTGTTTATACTCAATCTTATTTGATATACTTGCTGGAATGCTTTATGTTGAACAGGACTTCACTTTGTGTATGTGTATCTGTGGGTACATACTCGCACATATGTGTATTCATTCATATTGAATACCTTGCGAAGCACAGGTTTGYAATTTGTTTGGGACTCTTTCTTTCCTTYGTTCCTCTTCCTCCTACACATTTTTCCTCTCTCTTTTCTTTCTTTCTTTCCATCTTCCCTTGCTTTCCCTCTATACCTGCCCCCCCTTCCTTCCTTCCTTCCTTCCTTCCTTCCTTCCTTCCTTCCTTCCTTCCTTCCTTCCTTCCTTCCTTCCTTCCTTCCTTCCTTTGTCTTTCCTTTTTTCTTCCCKCACTTCCTCCGTCCCCTCTTTTCCTTCTTCCTTTCTCTTCCCTTCTTTTGCTTTCTTTCCACGCCTTTCCCCCTTTCCTTTCCCTCCCTTTCTCCCTTTTCTTTCTTCCCCACCCTCCCTCCCTCCCTCCCTCCCTCCCTTCCTTCCTTTCCCCCTCTTTCCCTCAGTGCACATGCCACCCTGCCACAGCCAATCCCACTTTGTTCCTTTTCTTTCACTTTGCTCTGGGCCTGAATGGGGTGCTTTTAAGATCAAACCCCTCAATTATTTTAGTTGGTTAATGAAGGATATGTGTGCCAAAATCTGGTCCAGATCCATCTTGTAGGAGCTTTTGTGGATTATAGATAGATAGATAGATAGATAGATAGATAGACAGACAGACAGACAGACAGACAGACAGACAGACAGACAGATATAGTGGAGGAGAGTTCTTGGATACTTATTATATTTCATATTTTATTAAATGTTTTAGGCCTCTGGTATGGATTGAGATGGGGAACAACCACCAATAAACAACACATCACATTAGTTTAATGAGCGTATCAAAGCAATGGATATTAAAATGTATAACTACTTTTAAAACTATAATTTTAAACAAATCTGGATCGGTATGTCAGACAGAAGAAACTAGTTTGTATTGCTGATTTATACTCGAATAGCATCTCAAGATGATGAAGCTCTTCTGGCAGGTCATTCCTCAGTTTGGGGGAGGACAAAGAAAATGTCTCCTGAATGACAGTCAGGCTAATTTTGGCTGGCTGAACTAGGTGTCTCTCAGAGACCTGAGTGTTTGGGGTGTATTATATGGAAAAGGTGATGTAAATCTTTGTAGCATGAGTTTATTAGGTAGGAGCCTGTTGAAAGTAGCTAAACTGATACCGTCCCGTATTCTCTGGCCAGGGGTTATACTTGGGGTTTGTAGTTTATGGGGGGTTGTAGTTCAGTATATTTAGAGGGGAATATTTACAATTCCAGTCATTTTCCTGCACAAGATAAGACTGGTTCTTTCTGCACAGCTAGAATAGACTTCAAAGTAACAGCTCTTCTGGAATCTGAGAAAAATGTTATGATTTGCCTGTGTGTCCATACTGTTTAGAGGGTTTTTTCAATTGCATCTTCAACTTTCTTCTCATTGGGATCACGGTGGCTTTGGTCAGCCTTGCTGTGATAAACCCCAGTTCATCTTTCCCAGATGCCAAAACCATCAGGAAAGAAAAATACTAGAGATTCTCCTCTTAATGATCAGTAATGATAGTAGGTGTCAGAGTTTCAAAGATACTAATATGATTTGGAAAATATTTTTAAATGCATATGGAGTTGCACTAGCTCTTCTTTCTTCAATTTATCCTTCAAGGAGCAGAAAGTTCATTTGCCTGATCTTGTTGTAACAGAGCTACTTGACAAAACAGGGCTTGTTTGGGCAACAAGGTCAAGTGTCCTTTCGTTGTTGTGTCAGGCTACAGAGTGGACGTCATTTTTTTTTTGTTAAACCAGATTGCTCTGACATCTAGACTGGAAAACCATGGTTCAAGGACAACCTGTGATCCTGTTTTTAGGAAGCACTCAAATCAACTTCGGATGTCACACAAAGCTGTAGATTTAGGGAAAAGAAGAAGCTGTAGCTGAGCAGGGAAGGGACAACGAAACAGGAGGGCAGGAGAAAGTTTAGCATTCAAGCATAGTTTGCTGAGTAGACAATTGAGTGGCCAAACCAGATCTCTGTGTTAAAGGGCAACACTTTTTAAGCGCTGCATATCAACTAGTCATGTGCACATTATTTGTTTCTTTTGTTTCATTTGTTGTTTTGTTCCTTTTGTTTCATTTGTTTTGCACGAAATGGTAACACCCCCTACAGTACAGAAATAGGCCCAAAACCGAAAAATAGCTTGAACGGTTACCGTCTATTCGGCCTTATTTTCGTCTCCTCCGCAGATTGAGAGGAAATCTTAAGTCCTGCCTTTAACCTCAAGTCTCCTCTGCAGATAGAGAGAAAGGGAAAGAGGGAATGCTTTTAAGGAGATTTTATTTCTAGAAAGAAAAAAAATCCTTAAAAAAACCAGGGGATGGCCCAAATGTTATAAAACTTGGTGGACTAAGAGTGGTTGATGTGCCCTCCATGTGTGGTGATTTTCACCCCTCTAGTCCTAAAACTGAGAGAAAGGGGAGCCTGGGAATGCCACCTATGTTGACCAATGTTCCCAAAAATGTTGTTCATTTGGAAAGAAAGAACAAAACAACTCATTCGGAAAGGCCCTATTTTTGGAAGCAACGTTGGAAAATGAAAATGGGGCCATACGAATGAAATAAACTGAAATGAATAGCGATTCTATACAAATGCACAAGACTATTACTATTATTATTTATTTAAAGCATTTATATTCTGCCCTTCTCACCTCGAAGGGGACTCAGGGCGGAGCACAACATATAAACGGCAAACATTCAATGCCGAAACATATTAGACCATACATATACAAAAGCATTAAAATCACATATCAACTACCTCACCTTTCACCACTTGCTTCTTGATCCGCCACTTCTACTAAAGCTAACCATATTGAATGTGAATTTTGTCTTCCCCAGAATTATGTGAAGGCAATGAGGCTCTTTGTTGGAGAACCTGTGTGGACGGCATACAACAGGCCAGCAGATCACTTTCCTGCTCGAGCCCAGTACCAGCAGTTTTTGGCACAAGCAGTACAATAAATGAACAGGGAAAGCACGAGACCTGGAGCAACTTTTCTTAATGGGAATTGTTTCCTTAGCCTTGCCATTAATGAGGTTCTTTGATTTCTTGCAGCACTAACACAAAGAAAATGAATAGGGATTCCTCAACCAAGCTCCCTAAATCAATTGTCAGACTGTTGATGATTATTGTTAATTTGTGCTAAAGTAAGAGTTCGTTCTGTGCAGGTCTTGAAGTTGTATTTCATCTTGAATGGTCATTTCAAGGGTTTCTCCACTTCCTTCACTGACTGTTCAGTCAAATCCATGGCTTTATACAGAGCAATAGAAATTTCGTACAGTCTGTCTGTTGTTTTCCACTACATCAAGAAAATCAATGCAAAATTTTACTTACCATTTTTGATGCAATGCTACTGTAAAGAGGGGACGTTCCTCCTGTACAAGTGTCCTTCTGTAAGATCTGCATTATTACTGCAAGTCTTTAGTGTTGGTTAAATCGGGTATAATCACAGTGATTTCTGTAGCTGACAATATTGGCTCAGAATAGCAATCCTTTCTTATTCCCTAAAAATGCCAACCTAGTTTGTTATGATTAATCTACCATATCTGGTAGGCAATATTTCCTGCATTGTTCAAAATATTGAAATGTTAAGTGTTATAATTGTATCTTTCTAGAAGTAATAAACACTGCTACATCCTTATGTCATTGTCATCTTTAAAGAATACCTTATCTTTTGAGATCATTTGTAGGTTCACATCTACAGTATGTTTTGGGGGTGTTAACACTTTGACAGAGATTTTTTTTTTTACAGTTAGTTACAGTTGAAGTTCCAATATGCATCCCTATATAGTGCCAATCAGATTTATGTATATTTGTCCATCTATATAAAGGAGACCCTGGTGGTGCAGCGGGTTAAATCGCTGAGTTGCTAAACTAGCTGACCAAAAGTTTGGCGGTTCGAATCCGGGGAGCAGGATGAGCTCCCACTGTTAGGTCCAGCTTCTGCCAACCTAGCAGTTCAAAAACATGCAAATGTGAGTGGGAAGGTAACGGCGCTCTATGCAGTCATGCCGGCCACATGACCTTGGAGGCATCTACGGACAACGCAGGCTCTTTGGCTTACAAATGGAGATGAGCACCCCCCCCCCCCCCCAGAGTCAGACACAACTAGACTTAATGCCAGAGGAAACCTTTACCTTTTATAATGGTACAGAATTTTTGCTGTTTCCATTGCAACAGAGTAGCATGGCTCTTCGTTTGGAAGCTGTTCGAATAGAAATTACACCAGTGGCAGCAATGAGTTAATATGTATTGTCGAAGGCTTTCATGGCCGGAATCACTGGGTTGTTATAGGTTTTTTCGGACTGTATGGCCATGTTCTAGAGGCATTCTCTCCTATGAGTGAATATTAAATGTTAGACTGGGAAAAAAATCCCATTCATGGTGGTGCAGCTTCAGCATGCATGCAATTTCCATCTGGAAGCCAGCGTGAAAGTGAAATGGTCACCCTTGTTCACTAGTAGCAATCAAACATTGTATTTCTGCAAAAGTGGGACACAAGTTTTACACAATAAAAATGTGATACATACAAAATCATATGTAACTAAAAAAGTACAAACAACACAAACTACCAGCACAAACTACTACTGGGTTCAAGGCTGAATTCAGTTCACCCAAACTGTATTTTCAGGGGGTGTGTGACCTAGGCCCCTTCGCAGGTAATCCACATTATCTGCTTTGAACTGGTGATATGAGTCTACATTGCCATATAATCCATTTTATATGGCAGCATAGAAGGAGCCCTCACCCAGCACAAATTGAATTGCTGTTCTCCGATCTGCCTTTTGAGTGACCAGGAGCAGCAGGATTATTGTAGCTCCTGTTACCTTTTGAAAAACACATGTAAAATTCTGATTATGCATCAAGTATTCCTAATGCTTAAAATGCTAATACCTACATAAAATTGTGGTACTTCCAAAAAATCAGCACCTTATGTCGATTTTGAATATAAGCGCTATTCCTTGAACTTGACACCTTAGCCTATAGATAATGATATAAGACCACAACAAACTTGCTTCAAGATCGGAAACACACCCAAGAGCTAATGTGGCATATTGGTTTGCATGTTGGACAATGACTCATGGAGATGTGAGTTCTAATTCCCATGTTGCCATGGAAAACCACTGGGTTGTTTGGGTTGGTAAATGTGAATAAGCAGAAGCTTTACCACAGTATTTAAACCAACATATATCCTGCAGTATAATAAAATGTCACTCGGGCTTGTAAAACAAGTAACAGTATCTTTAGTTCAAAGGTTCAAACAGGGTAACAATATATACATTAGTCTTTTTGAATTCAGGCAGTGAACAGAGAAATAAAATAGTCTTTGAAATATGCTTCATGCCATAAAATGATCAGTCTTCAAGATAGTTGCCAGCCAGCAATATCTTTTCACTGTCCAAAGTGAGAAAATGGCAGAATGACAGTTAGAACCGTTGGTCTGATCAGCTAGCCAGAGGCAGCAGCCAATCAGAATCCTGGCTTCTTGTACGCTCAGCCAATCAGCTGCTGGCACATCTCTCTCCAGTTAACCCACATCATGGCGTCCTTTTTCAAATCCTCACATGGGTGACCTTGACCAAGTCAAACACAACCTTGGGAGGAAGGCAATGGCAAACATTGTCTGAACAAATCTCCAAGAGATCACAAAATGAGTTTACCTTAAGAGTTGCCATAAGTCAGACTGGACTTGAAGGCACAATAACAACAAATCAAGCAGATTTCAGACCACCAACTCAAGTTTAGCAATACTTTACTCGCCGATCAACATTCAAGCCGGGGAGCTGAAGCCAGAGAAATATGTTTCCAGACAAAGAAATCACTGTTTATTTACAGACTTCTAAGGATGTTGGTGATTGGATCATCGGCATCTTAATGTAGCAATTTTTTGCTTGTACATATTTTCCGTATTGACCTTCCAGGTAGGAGACCTCACAAATCTGATGTGTGTTGAGAACCTTTCCTTTTTTATCTCATTAGTTTCACTACTGATTTATTTCCAGTTGCTCGTCTGTGACAAGCATGTGTTGAAGATGGCAGTGTTGTCAGAGCAAGGATCTTGCGGCTGGCCTGTTGTGCCGTTTGCTCACTGGAGAAAAGAGTTTATCTTGGACCTAATTAGCCAGCTAGTTCAAGAAAGGTTAGGTCACTGGTGGTGCATCAAGTATAGGAAGTTCCCAGCAGAGACCCCGGGGCTATTATGCCGGCAGAAAAATACATGGCCACAGGCAACGAGAGGCAGATGTCTGGACTAGAGCGGAATGCTAACACGTAAGTCCGCTGCTGGTGGTCATGAAGGACACAAAAAAGGGAGGACACTGCTGGCCAATCTAAAAGCCATTCTCATCCAGCACTCTGCCTTCTGGGAAATTGCATCAATTGACAACCATGCCTTGTTTGCCTCGGTTCCTTTCAGACTCAGGTAATTTTAGGAAATGCTGGCTGGAGCATATGAGAAGGAGTATCTTAGTTCAATACAGTTGGAGGCATTATACTGGGAAAAGCTGGCTTAGGCAAGTGATCATCTGGGTGGAGAATTGGAGATTGTGATTTTTCTTAACAAAACCTCTAAAATGATGATGATACTACTACACTACCCATAACTGCAAATTCATTCATTTATCAGTGGTTCTTAACCTGTGGGCCACGGACCACCATTGAGCTGCAAGGACAAAATCTGGTCCACGAGTCTCCTTTGTTGCGCAGCAAGCAGATTTTAGCCACGTCTCATGCACAAGACTCACAGACAAGAGTAGAAATGAACAGAAAAAATCTTTACTCTTAGTAGCTGAGATGAAATTCCAAACTTGCACCGTTGCATACAAAAAACGAACAGTGCAAGAAACTTACATGGTCTTTGTAAGTAACACAAAATAAGGGATCTTCATCTTAAGTCAAATGAGAAAACATAACATAAACCTTGAGCAATCTGCTATTCCACCATAGCCTCCTTTAGAGCAGCATAACRGTTTCTCTCCAACCTGCTCCTTAGAGCAGAGCCTTTGAGCATAGATCTCCTCAGAGAAAAAGCTCCCCAGAACTGTATTCTAAAAACCCATACAGTTATACCCTATCGGGTGTGGTCCAAGATTGCTGGTTGACCTACATTACCAGCTACACGTAATAATTACCATCATAAGGTTTTTCTTCAACACACACATACACATGGTCCTGCTACAACTTACTGTAACATCCTTCCTCTTTATTTTATTTATTTCCCCTCCTGCCACCTCTTCCCTGTTGCTGACCATGGCATATGTTCTGTATCAGAAATTAGAGCTGATGTGATCTATCCAATGCAATTTTCTGAATCAGCAACCCAAACYGAATCTATAGTTGACCAAAAACTGATCCATAACCCTTTTGGTACTAATATTGGAGAAGGGTCCCTCCCTGGTCAAAGTGGTCCCTGATCAAGTAGTTCCTGGTCAAATAATCCCTGGTCAAAGTGGTCCCTGGTTAAAAAAAAAGGCTGGGAACTACTGATTTTCATGTCAGAGGAGCTGACTATTGCCAAGGTTGCTAGCCTGTTTTCTTGCCTGATTCACGTGTTCAATAATTTTCCAAGAGGCAGACATTCCACAGTTAGAGCAATGATGATGTGTAGTAAAGGTTTCCCCTGACATTAAGTCTAGTTGTGTCCGACTCTGGGGAGTGGTGCTCATCTCTAGTTCTAAGTCGAAGAACCAGTGTTTTCCATAGACACCTCCTAGGTCATGTGGCCAGCATGACTGCATGGAGTGCGATTACCTTCCAGCAGAAGCGGTACCTATTGATCTACTCACATTTGCGTGTTTTCAAACCGCTAAGTTGGCAGAAGCTGGGGCTAAAAGTGGGAGCTCACCCCACTCCTGGATTCGAACCGCCAACTTTTTGGTCAGCAAGTTCAGGAGCTCAGCGGTTTAGCCCACTGTGCCACCAGGGGCCCTGATGATGTGTGTCTTCACATAATTTTTGACTAATAGTAATCTTAAGGTGAA